ATATATTGTTTTTGGTAATTATATTGTATTCAAGTCAGTTCTATATATTTTATTATCATAATTTAATAATATATGAGATATCCGTATGTAAGGCAAGTAAATAAATTTATATAAAAAAATCAAAAAAAAAAGATTAAATGGCAAGTAAATGTAAATCCCCAAATTTTTAAATGATAAAGTAAACTATCGAAGTAGTTAACTTATGCTATGGACACATATCCTGTCGGCACAACTTTGTATTTGTAATCTTTATGTGGAAATTTTTATCTGATTGAATCTTTAAAGCCCCTTCTTGTGGTATTTTTATATTGTTGAAATTATATGTCTCGGGTGATAGGGTTCATTTTTGTAACACACACATATACAAATACACAAATACATACATACATACATACATTGTTTGCATATAAAGCCAACAACAACAGTACTCGCACCATCATTATCATTTTCGTCCTGTCTGCAAAATAAAATGTCAAGGCATCAACAACAAATTTTGCTTGGATTAAGGCATCATTTGCAAACATATGGAATGTATAATAAAAGCGCCTATATGGGATTTGTAGCTACTTTATCACGGCACAGACATACGTATACCCAAACTTATATACGACATTGATAGCCTGCAAATAGAACAAGTCTTCCACATACAATAAATATGTGTGAAGTATTAATTTGTGCATGTTTACCGAAGCATTTAATTTGGGTAAAATTATGTTGTACTAATTTTAAATGGATTAAATAGAGGTTGCCATGGGATGTTAACACATTAATTTTGTGTATAGGATGGCAAACAAAAGTACACATTGCACAGCACAAAGGGCACAACCGATTGCTTTTACTCAGCAGTAAATTTTCAGAAAAATAAGGATATTAAAAAATTTCAAAAGGAAAACTCACAAAACAGCAAATGAACTAAAAGACAAGATATTTTACATAATAATTGAAAAACTCCTTCCATAATCAAAAATACATTCTCTATTGAAAATTGAGTTCACAGATTTGCAAGCCAGCGTAAAATTTACTTATCACTTCCGAAGGAAGTGGGATGAAGTTCATTTTACATGACGAACTTTGCTACTGAAAAGTCAATTCAGAATGATTAAATTTCACTTCAATGTTCAGGCAATGAAATAAAAATTATGGTAAATTACATTTCATTTTAACTCAATGTACTGCGGAACAGTGCTCTGGTTACTATTTTAAGAAAACTAATGAAGTGCTTTTATTAGATAAGTTCATCGTTCTGTACATTTGAGACAGGAAAATAGACCAGAATGCGTCTAGTGAATGTAGTTTTGGACTTATGCATAAGCTTTATTTTTTTTTATAAAATAATACTTTACTGATTTAACATTAAAGATAATGCTATGTTCTTGTTAATTCCCTTTAATACACATTATATATATATATATATATATATATATATCATATATATATATATATATATATATAATATTAATATATATATTAATATTTCAAAATTGTCAATTTTGATTTGAGTTTAGGCATAACACTCCTTCCTAATGTTCATGACCAGAATTGGCATTAAACTGCAGTTATCATTTGTTACACGAGTTTCTGGTGAATTAAAGTGCTATGTAACAGCACTAAAAATGTTGAAGAGAAAAAAATTGTCAGAAAACTTGACGTTACGCTGACAAACTTCTGTAAAATGCATTTTCAATGTTAAAATTGAAGGAAAAACTTAAATTCAATTCACTTTTACTTTTTTTTTCACAAATCAAATTTTTTAAGTTTTTGTCACAGGCCATGTTGCAATTTCGTGCTCCTACTTCTGCTGCAACTTAGGAATTGTAACTTTCTTGGCGCTTTAATTTTCTTGTCTCGGACGTGTTTGGCATATTAAGCAGGATCAGCTGCATTTCTTCATTGATTAGCGTTATTCCTGTGACTGTGTGCTGGTACATTTTACAGAATAAGGCATTACTTAGGTGTCTACTGCGAAACACTTTTTTGCTTCTCTGTTTTTGAAAAGTTTCTCAAAAATTTTCTAGTATTTCTAAAATATTTTAAAATAAGTTTAAAGCTTTTTGCTTCAAAGCGAGCTCATAACAAATGTTTTGTACCACAATTTAAACAAAAATCACAGCAAAGCAAATTAATATCTACGTACGTAATATCTACGGTTCCTCCTCCTAAAGACCTGAAGACACTCAAAACTTCCCAAGTTAAGTTAAATTAACGGAAATTATATTGGCAATTAAAGACGCAGCAAAACGTTCGTCTGAACATTCACAAAACAAATGAATAAAATTACAATAATTACAAATGAAACCAAACTTGTGTAAATATTAAAGAAAAAAAAACAAAAATCAAAAAAAAAAAGAATAAAAAAAATTAAAGCAAAAGAGAAACCAAAAGAAGAAAGAAAAGTAAAACGAAAAACACTGGAAAAAAATTTACGCCTACGGCAGGAAATGAGCGAAGTTGGCGGCAACTCGCTTGAAGTCCTTCATTTTCTTTTTTATCAAGGAGCAGACAGCCGAACGGAATGGCGGAATTACAGTGATACACGCGGGCATATTTTCACTTATTTGTTCATTCATTATTTGTGCGGTTAACATACAGGAGACACGGAGCCTGCTGATATCCTTCGGGGTCGGTGTGTTTGAGGGTGCGTGCGGAAGTTTGTGTGTACTACAATGGAGTATCCTGCCAACAGCTGGAAGAAAAGGCAGTCGTATACTAAAATGAAAACAAAATGGTTTTTTCAAGTGGAAAATTACTTTTACAATTTTATGATGCGGAAATTATATGAAAAGTCAGGGATCACACCTAACGTCGTCTTTTGTTGTCGTTTTTTCGGTAGTATTCCGTTTGGTATCAGAATTCGTAGACACAATACTACGGAGCGAGCAATGTAAATCTACTTTCGGTTAATTTGTCGTTAAATGTAAATGTTTGCGCCTAGTCCTGGCAGCGAAATCGCCCAGAAACCTTTTATGTGGAATTTCTCTAACAAGCCACTAAATATGATGGTAATTTGATGCTCATATGCTTCTAAATATGTGCTTAGTCTTTTTTTTCTTCAAAAATATTAGTTAAAGAATTTAATATACTGCTAAACAAGAGAAAAAAAACTCAAACTTAATAAATGAATACACTTATTATGATATTAGAGCATTTTAAGTGAAAATAGAGGATTTTAATCAAAATTTTTTTAATTTTATTTATAATATACTTTGTATAAAATTGCAGACTATGTCTCATAAGGTCAGCGCATCCTGAACAGGTGTAATAATCAATAAGTAACCGAAACGATATAGAATACGATAATGAAGTTGATACGAAAATGGTACGTTTGGAACAGATATAATAATCGATAAGTAGCAGAAACGACGCCAAATACGATACTGAAGTTAATACATAAGTGGTACACTTGGAACATATATAATAACCGATAAGTAGCAAAACCGATACCGAAGTTGATACAAAAGTGGTACACTTGGAACAGATATAATAATCGATAAGTAGCAGAAACGATGTCGAATACGATACTGAAGTTGATACACAAGTGGTACGCTTGGATTGCATTAATGTTATTTTAATTAAAGGAACAAATTCAGCGTACTATGATAACCATACTAGGTATATGCATAAGCTTCTTCCGGTTGAACTAAGAAACAGATTTAACTAGTAAAAAGTGCGCAGACTATTAACTTGACACATACGTCATTTAGTTTTTCTAATTTTTTTTTGTTTTCAAATCCCCTTTTTTGCTGACAAAAAACTATAAATATATACAAGCTGAGTCTGGCAAAAAATCGATCATACTAAATTTGATACTCAGAAAAGAACATTTGCAGCAAACTTTCCTTTTCTTATTAAATTAAAAGAAAAAGGCCGTTGAAAGTCAACATTAGTTCGTAAGAACATATGATGAATATGGTCCATTGATTACAACATTTGAGAGATGCTCTCAGTAACTTAAAGGTGGTAATTTCTACGTGACAGTCGGTAAGCGCTCTAGCAGAATACAAAACGCATACTCAACAGCAAAAGCAATAAATGTATCACCTTAAACAATCAGCAGATATTTACAAGCTATGGTGAAGATCTATAAGCTAGGTGAATGGGTCCTACACGAACACAAATGGAAAACCACAATCATTACGAAAAAAAGTTATTTTTGTAACGAATTCTAATGGATGACGAAAAATGGATTTATTTTGAAAACTTGAAGTGGAAAAAATCATAGCTTTCACCTGACCAAGTCGATCCTTCGACACCAACCGGCAAGAAGCGTTTTAGCAAAGAAGACCACGCTTCGCCTTCAGTGGGAACAAATTACTATTGTATATAATAAAATCGTGAAACCCGCAAAAAAGGGTTTTTTAAAAGACTGTTCAACTAGAAATAAAGGTTTTCAAATGATTTTATTGTCCGCTTATAAAAATATTGTCCACTTATAAAAACTACGAAGTTTTGCGTTAGAAACTCAATACATGTAAACCTTTATAACAGAATTTAGTCATGTAGTCTTCCACACAATACATGAAGTAATATATAAAATACAGAGAGAGGAAAAAAGGGAACATATGGAAAATAATACTCATATGTTGCATGAGCCCTTATAAAAAAGAAGAATTCAATAGAGAAATTAAGAAATTATCGAGGTCTTTAGTGAATAGTTCCCTCACTCAGTAAAATATGCTCTAACCACATATAAGTTAAATTGACCTAATCAATTATGTTAGGGAAATTTTGGCCCATATAAAGAATAAATAAAAAGAAAAAGAATAAATAAAAACCAACATGTGGTATGGTTGAACCAACATAATGCGTCGAGTGAGAATATTTTGAACTGAGATTAACTGAGTCGACCAAATTATTTTTTTGAGTGATTAGGCAACATTGGAAATAAAATGGTCAATACAAACAACAAAAATTAAATTCTCACAGAAACCCTGTTTTTAACACTCAAAAACCTTTAAAACATATCAAGTAATTTTGTCAAATCAAAAGTTTATATAATAACTGAAGAATTTTATTTCATGAAATCGTTTCGGAATATATGAGATTTTGGCTTTAAAGACTATTTGCGAAGAACTAAATATGGAATTTGAGAAATGCATGTTTAGTACCCAAAAATTTTCAGTATTCATGTTATTATGGCAACTAACGCAGAAATACAATAAATTCAACAATCTGTGCATTGATCAGCTGCAAAAACTGAATGATGTAGAAAGTAAGATGGACAGCCTTCTGCAAACCGATATATTTATATGTGAAGATTATCCGTTAAGTCTCGTAGAGGTTGAACTCCTTTCAAACGAAGTGAAGGATATCAAATATCAATACGGTGAAAGCAAGAAAAGCGTTGAGTCAAAAATGAAGAGTGTTATTGAAGAATCTAAGAAATTAGTAATTGAATTAGTAGAAAAGAAAAAGCAACTGATGTTCAGATATAATAAAATACTCATGCATTTTAAACGCAATACAATCCCTAGCGGTAATGTCAATTCGGATCAACATTGTGTGGGACCAATAGTTGCATTTCAAAAAAAATTTCACAACGTAGTGAGAAGTATCCATGGTAATGAAAAATGGTTAAATCAATTTTTTATGATTTTGAGCATAAATGGATTGGATCTTATTACTGCTACGGGATACTTACCACCTTGGCTCAATTCGGGTATGTTAATATAATTGATTTTTTTTCCATGTTCTGAAATTTATATATACTAATCACAATCTTTAGTTCACGGAACAGTGGATATAGAAGCTTTTATAAATGCAGACTTAGAGGCAACATACATTTTCGGTGAGCTGTTAGTTCTTAATGGTGGCAAAAACTATAAGAGCAACTTTGGTGATGATGCTGAAGATTCAGCAAATGTCTAGTAATATAGCTATTATCATGACTTAATTATATTGGATATTAAATTTATAGCATATAACTTTATTATTACCTGTCATCAATTTGATTAGTAAGGATTGTATATTCTATAAAAACCATAATACCAAGTAGATATCAATAGTATACACTTTAGAAAGAAATTAGTATCACAAAAAAATCACACATCAAGCAACGAAAGTAGTATAGATATGGCGGTTCCAGGCCAATGGGAATTGTGCAAGGCACCACTGTGTAAGGAAAAAATAATTTTCTGTTCTTCTGGCTGCTGCCTGAAGCTGAAGCTGACGTTCGGCTCGTGGCTCGTGGTGGGGGCTGGGCGCTGGGCGCTGGGGGCTGGGGTGAGGTGTGAGGTGGCTGGCTGGTTGAGTGGCTGGTTGTTAGTTGTGAGTGGAGGGGATGTTAATGTTAGTTAATGTTTTTTTTGTTTTGGTTGACTTATATATATATATAGAGTAAAGAAAAGATGATTTTGTAGTTTTTGAATAATATAAAAAAAGTTAAAAATGTTTATTTATATATATATATATTTTGTATAAAAAATAGAAAAAATTACAATTATCATAAAATATTTAATATTGAGTTTATCCATTGTGGTATTGGATTTATGATGTGTCCATGACCCAATAGATAAATGTACACCTGCGAGCAGAGGTGTACGATGGTATGGAACAGGAATGGGAAGCATACGCTTCCTGTGTTTGCCATGTTGAGTAGTTGCTGTATCAGCATAATCTCTTGAAACAGATTCACATCAAGGTGTATCGTACACCTCTGCTCGCAGGTGTACATTTATCTATTGGGTCATGGACACATTATAAATCCAATACCACAATGGATATACTCAATATTAAATATTTTATGATAATTGTAATTTTTTCTATTTTTTATACAAAATATATATATATATAAATAAACATTTTTAACTTTTTTTATATTATTCAAAAACTACAAAATCATCTTTTCTTTACTCTATATATACATAAGTCAACCAAAACAAAAAAAACATTAACTAACATTAACATCCCCTCCACTCACAACTAACAACCAGCCACTCAACCAGCCAGCCACCTCACACCTCACACCTCACCCCAGCCCCCAGCGCCCAGCGCCCAGCCCCCACCACGAGCCACGAGCCGAACGTCAGCTTCAGCTTCAGGCAGCAGCCAGAAGAACAGAAAATTATTTTTTCCTTACACAGTGGTGCCTTGCACAATTCCCATTGGCCTGGAACCGCCATATCTATACTACTAACGAAGACAATTTGTGTAAAAATTTTGAATCAACTTTAACCACTTTAAAAAATCAAAAACCTGAACCGGAAAAATAGAATGCTTCTTATAGGCATCACCATCTTTACTATATAAATGTGCCACTAAGATAACTAAATCTTCCCTTGAAACACTGCAAATATTTAAAAACATCACTCTAAGATAGATACTCATATTTTCCCGGTATATCAGAAAACTTGATACTCATAGAGATCTTTTTATTGAAAATATCAAAAGTATTCAGTAATATATGTTATATAGATATGTAGATTCATGTCACCACAAAAATTCTTTAGTTTCATTTAAATGAATTTAAAGGACGAAATGAACCTTTGCCCATATACGTTCTCTCATTATTTGCATAAAAAATGGAGTTTTACAATATATTGAATGTAGACTACCCGGTTATCCTAATATCGATCATATAAGTCGAAAACAGAGAAATGAGTTAAGGCGCTAGTTGGAGCTACCAACTCTATTAAATCATAATTCACCACCACAAAAGGCATATACAAACCAAAAATGACTGAGAAACAACGTTCAATATTTTATTTCGATTGCGTCTACATTATTATTATTATTATGTTGGAGATTTGCACTGCAACCTATTGTGGTCTCTGCATAAACTTAAAGAATTTCTCCGAATCTAATTTTCTTTATAAATTGTAGTACGCAACCTGTATTATAGAGTTTTATTTGCTCACCCGATATGAGATGTACTTCTTTCGTTTATGCATCAGCACCAATAAAACTTCCAATATATGTTTTGAGAGATCTCATTCTACGCCACACAATATCTGCAAGTATACAGTTTTAAAAAGATAGTTCTTAGAATTTCTGTAATTATTCTTTAATTATCTTTATTGAGCTGTATACAAATCCTTACATTGAATCCATATCTAATTATTTTCGCCAACGTTATTCATTTTTTCAAGACACTCTATTACTAGTCGTAATGTCACCTGCTCAGAACGGAGAGCCTTTATTGCGGTCTGGCTATCAGTTAAGATGACTGTTCTATCGTATTGTTAGAAACATGTAAGCTAAAGTATATACATCTGTCTAACACATTCACATCCACACATACCACATTAGAAACTTGCTTGACGTTTCGGTATAGGGTATGAGGATTTGTGTGGTCAAGGTTACCAATAAAAAATAGTAAAGTATAGATGTAATATCATCCTTATATGGATCTCTGAATATAGGAACATCAAAGAAAACCAGAAAGCTGACAGTTAATCCACTTTGTTACTCTCCTGAATGCGTTCATAGCGACAACGGTTTATGTTACCCTAAAGACCATTAAGAGAAGTAGTTTCCTCTACTTTCTTCAGTTTGCTAATACCAAATGAAAGGCACTTATGTCATATACAACGTCCAATTTGACATAGCCCATTAATAAGAAAAATAAATTTTGAGAACTCATTAGAAGTGGTCGTAGGAATCCACGCGGAGAAACTGTACATTTTTAATAATCCTCACTGCAGATTTTGTGAAAGCTTGCAGGAAAAGAAAGCATTTAACACGTTCTCTATGAATGCCCAGCTTTGGCGTTCAGAAGAAATAGGTTTTTAGGAAGCTATTCTTTTGACAGACCTATTAAATTATCTAAATTTGATGGAAGGAATTTAGTCTATATTTTCTTATATTAGAGGTTCTTGCGAAGAATGTGTGGGCAAAACGATGAAATAAACGAAAAATCGCTAACTAAAGTATATGAAAAGTTATCTGATGACTTGTCACTGCAACTAACCAACCATAGATGTGACAAAAAGAAAAGTACGTTCTGCGTAAATATCGTTTGTCGGTTGACCTAACGCCACAGTCCCTGGTAAAGGCGGTCATAGATTTGAATTGGAGAGTCGTAGTGTGAATTGGAGAGATTTAATTGTTAGTTCAATATATTTTTATTTGGTTTTATTTGAAATTGCTGTGTTCAACATTAATAACATTTAATAATTATAATTTAATAAAATTACTTTTATTTTCGATTTAATATTTCCATTAACCAATTTTGTCATTTTTAATTAAGATTTACACTTCACCACTGCTGCTCTTCATTTTAGTTTCAAGTTCTGCGTCATAAAACTTTAAATAAAGAAACTTTCCAGTTTCTACTTACGAAATTCCACGCCCATTGTAGACATTACGTACGCCCCGAGAGTTTTACGCGGTAACAAATTTAACAACAACAAACACTTTTTTTACTAAAATTTTGTTGTTGTTGTTGCTTTTCTTAGTCTTTCAGTTTTCTTTGGTGATTCTTTGCTTGGGAAGTAAAGTTTTTGGAGTTTCCTAGCTAAGTTCTTGTGTTTTCCATTTGTGTGAAAACTTTTTAAGTAACTTAAGCTGGGCAAATGAAACTCAGTAGCGAGTGTGCACTGCACAGCCATCGACTTGCATAAGGGATACATGAGCTTAACAGGCTTAAGAACTTTGTTACAGTTTTTTCCAGCTAATTATTTTTGCAGTGTACATATTTGTATTAGGTGAACTGGTTGTGATGTTGGCTTGCACATGTGTACCGTACGTATGTAAGGTAGTTTCTATTAATTTTTATAAATTTAAGCATTTTTACCTAAGGTTACTTGCTCTCCTCCTCACTGCTGCGGTGGAAAACTGATTCCTCCATAAGAAATAAAAGTAGAATTGCAAGTAATGCCAGTTTTGACCTTCAATACAATGATATACGTTCTAAGTACTTTTCATTCAATCACTCCAATACCTATTGTAATCATCTAACTGCAAGTATGAAGTGCACTTCATTAAGAGTTCTCCAAAAAAATGGCAGTTTTCAGGAAAGTTTCCAAAGAGCACTTAAAAATTACCGCAACTACTTTTCTCCTTTTAATTGCTTGCAAGAAGTGTCAAAATTGGAAATTAAATATTTTTTTCGTGTCAATAGTGAAATAAAATATTTTTGTATTAAAATAAATGTAATTAACAGGATTCTATTCAAGACAAAATCCTCAAAATTGCTGAACTTGCAGTTGGATTAACTTGGAGATATAAAACTGTCCGGGTGTTAGATGACGTGGTTGCTTACACTTAATGATAACCACAATCGTATGACTACTTAAAAAGGAGTGTTTATCACCACAATCTAAACAAGTTTTTGCACCTTTTCGTAACTGTGGACATATGGATAGTTCCTAACACATTAATGACCAATAAACAGCCAAAGCAGTGGATTTCTCAGGGTGAGCGTGAGCCACAGTTGGTCAGTGAGCCGACTTTTTGGGATAATCTGATATCATTTACATCCACTTGCTTGAAAAAAAAAAACAATCACCAGTATATTTTATATAGAGATGTTGGGAAAATAAAAAATTTTGCAAGAAAAAAAAAACAATCTTCCATAGAAACAATGCACGGATGCTCACCTGTGCATTCGCTACATTAACAATTCATTAATTAAATTTCGAAAGCTTTTCCATATAGCATATTCTCTGGATTTAGCCCTTTTCGAACACTTTTTGCTTCCCAACCTGTAGAAATGACTCTACGGTAGAATATTTGGATCAATTGAAGAGTTTATCTCTAAAACAAACATCGGTTCTCAGAACTTTGAAGAAATCATTTATTTGGAAAAGGCACAAAAATAGAAAAGAAAACAAAATAAGTGTATTAAACTATCTTCATCCAGCAATCTAACAAAATACTGGACATATCTAGTATTGAAAATAATACTAATACTATCCGGCAGACTTATGGGTGTGTAA